TTGGTACAAGCAGTGTTTAAATGTGATTTATAAATAAATCTAACACAAAGATAATAATTTAATGATTAAGCTTCAACTTTTAATTTGCTGGCAAAGTCTGAAGACACTGCAGGTATGGCAGGATGAATTGCATTTAAACAGGAATTAAAGTAATTTATTACATCTACTCAAATGTGTGTAATTAAGTATTTTATATATATGTGTGTGTGTGTGTGTGTGTGTGTGTGTGTGTGTGTGTGTGTGTGTGTGTGTGTGTGTGTGTGTGTTTAATTGCTCTTTTAGCTACTTTTGCCTGAACCTAACGCTGTAAATAAAACAAGGCATTTCTTGAGATGCTGTAAAGTATGCTATAATAAATATTTACTCTCTCATTCCAGAAAACAACAACAAACAACAACATCCTTCATGATGGACAGACATCATGAACACCACAGCAGCAGCTGTCTTCACTGAAACATCCTGAACATGATCGTCACTGACATGAGGCCTCCGTCGATGGTTGAAGACGAAAGCTTCACTACAATAATCCACACTTTTAATCCAGGTTACAATAATCCACACTTTTAATCCAGATTACAATAATCCACACTTTTAATCCAGGTTACAGTAATCCACACTTTTAATCCAGGTTACACTCTTCCCTCAATGACACATTTTACAAAGTAGCTACATATTGTGCAGGTATAAAGATACATTTGTATATATTTTTGTGTACATTTATTTTTTAAGCTATTTGACTAACTTTTATTTTTTATTATTCAATATTTTACTAACATAATAGTAAAATAGCAACCTGTTTTTTGTGTGAATTGCTATGTCAGTCAAATTTTCAATTTTGGAATAAAGGGGTGGAAATTAAAACGTGGTTTTGTTTGCCGATTCATCGATTAATCAAAAAAATAATCGGCCGATGAATCGATTATTGAAATAATCATTAGTTGCAGCCCTAATATATATATATATATTTTTTTTATATATATATAAATCAAAAGGGCTGACATGGCAGCAACTCACACTCTGGGGATACAAGACAGGAACACATCAGGACAGGCAGGACAAGGTAGACCCAACGATGACGCAACAAAGGACAAGACTCACAGACAGGCTTAAATAAACAGACAAGGCAGGATGTGATTACAAACAGCTGAGAACAGAAGGTGCAAATAATTAGGAATAATGAGACACACAAGGTCGCACAGACAAGGAAGACCCATAAGATGGTGCCATCCTTAAAGTATACCCCCCCCCCCCTCAAGGACGCCCCCTGGCGTCCCCAAAAAAGCCCCCCAAAAGACTTGGGTGGGTGGAGGGAGGAAATGCAAGGATGGAGGGCCCAAGAAAAAACATGAGGACAAAAACAAACTGATAAAAACAAAAACATGGGAACTAAACTCAACACTAACAGGGGAACACAAAAAAGTCTGGGCGGTCAGGAGACCGTCCCAAGCACGATCATTATACCGGCGGGCGGCCAGAAGGCTGTCCATCAGGCTGGAACGGGTCAGGTGGGCAGCCAGGAGGCCAACCATCAGGCCAGAACAGGTTAGGCGGGCGGCTGGGAGGCCAACCATCAGGCCAGAACAGCTCAGGCGGGCAGCCGGGAGGCCGACCATCAGGCCAGAACAGCTTAGGTGGGTGACCAGGAGACCATTCTTCAGGCAGGAGACAGACAGAGCAGGAGCGAGGACCTCAACGGACGGACCAGGAGCGAGGGCCTCAGTGGATGGACCTGGAGCGAGAACCTCAGCGGACGGACCAGGAGTGAGGACCTCAGCAGACGGACCATGAGTGAGGACCTCAGCGGACAGACCAGGAGCGAGGACCTCAGCGGGTGGACCAGTGGCGAGGAGCTCAGTAGACGGGTCAGCGGCGAGGCAGGGTCTTCTGCGGCTGGATCATCTGGGGTAAGATCTTCTGTGGCCGGATCTTCGGTGACAGGATCTTCGGTGGCAGGATCTTCGGTGGCAGGATCTTCGGCGGCAGGATCTTCGGCGGCAGGATCAGGAGCAGACGTGGATGGTTTATCAGCGGAGGCAGGGTCTTCTACGGTCGGATCATCTGGGGCTGGATCTTCTGCGGCCGGATCTTCAACAGCAGGATCTTCAGCGGCAGGAACAGGAGCAGACGTGGACGGGGGGTCAGCAGGGACAGGATCTTCTGCGGTCGGATCCCCTAGAGCCAGATCTTCTGCGGCTGGGTCTTTGGTGGCAGGAACAGACGTGGACGGTGCAGAACCCTCAGGAGGTGGCGTGGGTCCTGCAGCAGTCTCAGTAATGGCTGTAGGCTCAGGGCTGGCTGCAGGCTCAGGAACTGGACCGAGTGTCTGGAACCCTTCTGTTGTCGACCTCTCTGACGTGGGCAGCGGTATGGTTCAGGTCCAGGATCAGGCTGAGAAAGAGGAGCTGAGCATGAAGGTGGTGTCAGTGTAGTTGGTGGGTCTGGGTCTGTGGGTTCAGGACGGGCTGGATCCTCATACAGTGTAGGTAACGCAGAGGCTGCAGGAGATGGGAAAACTAGGGAGACTGCAGTAGGCATGGGAGTGACCACAGGGGCTGCAGCTGCGAGGATCTAAGGTGTCAGGATCAGGGAGTCTGGGACTGGTTTGAAAACAGAGGAGTGATGTTTGGGTGGAGGACTAGGACGAGCATCATAGGGTTGGATGAGCGGCTCCAACCAACGCTTCTCCTCCAGCACCTCATCCAAGAAGTCCTCCATTCCAGGAGTGTCAATCAGTCCAGGTAGATGAATATATTCATCCAGCATGTTTGTTGTGGCCACCCAGCTCTCCCACAGATTGTAGGAGGTGGCCACGTCCACAAACTTCCGTCTTGTGTCGCAGAGTTGATGAAAGTCTTCATCAGATAATCTGGACAGAAAATGCTTGTCTGCTGGGTTCATTGCTGGTCACGTCATACTGTCAGGATTTAAATGGTAAAAGGTAAAAATGCTTGTCTGCTGGGTTCATTGTTGGTCACGTCATACTGTCAGGATTTAAATGGTAAAAGGTAAATGGACTGTATTTATATAACATACCATAACATTTTATTTATAGAGCACTTAAAACAGCGACAAGGCCAACCAAAGTGCTGTACAGACAGAAAAACAGGCAACACACAAAGCAATGTACAAAATTAGGTAAATCAGAATATAGACATGAAAATGGTGCAGATAATAAATATGACGACTAACCAGTGTGGAGCATACATGTTCAAAACATAGATCATCTGGTGTTGAAAGCTACTGAATAGTAGTGGGTTTTTAAATGGGACTTGAAAACCAAGAGGGAGGGGGCCTGTCTGACAAGCAGAGGCAACTCGTTCCAAAGTCTTGGGCCTGCTACAGAGAAGGCCCTGTCACCTCTGTGCTTAAGACGAGTTCCTGGAACTGTGAGGAGCAACTGGTCTGCTGACCTCAGGGAATGTGGTGGGACATACAGCTGTAGCAGATCAGAGAGATGGGGGTGGGGGTGGTGGGGGCAAAACTGTTCAGCGATTTGTAGACATGCAGGAGTATTTTGAACTGGATTCGAAGGTAGCCAGTGCAGTGAGGCCAAAACTGGTGTAATGTGCTCTCTTTTGCCTGTACTGGTTAAAAACCGGGCTGCTACATTCTGGACTAGCTGTATTCATGCAATGGAGGTCTGACTGATACCAAACAGGAGCGAGTTGCAGTAATCAAGCCTAGATGTAATGAATGCATGTATTACTGTCTCCAGGTTATTTTTGAATAATATGGGCTTCAGTTTAGACAGCCGCCTCAGCTGGAAGAAACATGATTTAACAATCATGTTTACATGATTGTTAAGTTTCAGTGAAGGGTCCATTATCACGCCCAGATTAGTGACTCTTTGTTTTTCAGACAGGGTTAGAGCGGAGAGGTCGATGCAGTGGTTTGTGATTGTGTCGTTGGGAGGGAACAACGTGACTACAGACTTCTTTTCAATGAAACTTAAGAAATTTAAAGCTATCCAGTCCCTGATGTCAGCCAGGCAGTCGAGCAGAGGTTGAATAGCGCATGTACCATTGTGTCTTAGGGGGAAGTAAATTTGACAGTCATCGGTGTAGAAGGGAAAGGGTATGTTGTGTTTCCGGAAAATAGCATCAAGTGGCAGCAGGTATAAAGAGAATAGGAGGGGACCCAGGATGGACCCCTGTGTAGTGAACTAGACCTCCTACATCTATCTGTCTCTGAAGACCTTCA